ACACATCTATCGTAGTTCTTTATTTATCTACAGAGATCGGGCATCAGAATAGACCGGAAACTATTCTTTTACCGTTCTGTTTTAATTTCACAATAAAGTTAGTAGTAATAATCTGTTTTGATATTATTGTTTTTTATTAACTACTAGACCGCTGGGTCATGTTAAGACCATCTTTTCTGTGTTGCTGTGGGGTTTTTCCATCGCTTTTGTGTTACAAATATAAAAACAAAAACTAAATATATCCGTCGTAAACTAAACCAGAAACAGCAGTATATTTTATTTTGTTAACACTTTAAACTTGACAGTTTTTTAACCCAAACCACCTACTGGTTAAAGCACGTTATTACACGTTTGGAGTAATTGCAATGCAGGTAGATTATGTTGCTTTTTAATGACTGTTTAAAATGCCTTTTTCTTAATGTCTTTCATTTTTGTAAAGCACTTTTGAATGTGTTATATTTGATGAAAACATTTAAATATTAAGAGTATATACAAAATAGTGGGAAAGTAGAAGGTCAATGATATAAATAGAAAATAGAAAATATCAAGAAAATACTGTAAGTGATATCTACAATAACACAGTTTAGTGCCGGATAGGAGGATGTGCAAAACAGACAAACTAATAAGGCTTTATTTAAACATTAAAGAATACTTTAGGCTAAGGTCTTCTTTTAAATAAGAAAAAAGCTTTGGGGGTATCTATCTACAGATACTTATTAAGCCTGACAAAGTACTTAACGTCTAATATATTGCATGGTTTGTTTTGGAACTTGACAATCAACTTTCCTGCAATGTTAACTATGTTGAAGCACTTATTTTAACCGATATTATACATATTTATTATACTCTTATAAGATGTATGTAGATAGAATAATACATGTGCAGAATATGACAGTTTATGGAGGTACACACATATTGATAGATGTCTTGTAATGCACTGTTGACGAACCTGCTGTGACCCAAGTTTTGCATTCATTGCATAACTACACCGTAGTTGTGTATATGATATGTCAATAAACCTTTGAAAATCTTGAAATCTTGAAAGGGATGTGCAAAATATCAATTATATACAGTCTTTAATTAACAATTAGAGAATAACGAGTAATGAATATGCTTTATACGGATCTGCAGATATATGTTTAGTCTTCTCAAGCACCAACTATCAAATATCTCTCCTGATTGTTGGCACTTGACAATCACCTTCACTGAATTTTACTCAGGTGTAACTAAAGTCTGATTTAAGGGTTGTTTATATTTCACATCATTAATCCAAATCTGTAAAGTAACTAAAATAAATGTAGTGCAGTAAAAACACCACGTTAACCTTAAAGAAAGCCCTCAGGATTATAAAAGACCCCCATCACCCCAGCCACAAACTGTTCTGTCTGCTGCCGTCTGGCAGGCGGTACCGCAGCATCCGGACTAAAACCACCAGACTCAGGGACAGCTTCATCCCACAGGCCATAAGACTATTAAACACCTGAACTTAGAAACAACATCCATAACATTCATCTGGCTGCTACTTAGAAATTATTTATCTAATATATCATATTCACAATGTAGTGACTGCTTTTTTGTCTTTTGTTTTCTTAGTTATGTTCTCTTTTATATGTGTGTGTTATGTGTTATGTGTAACGTTGCTGCCTTCTTGGCCAGGTCAGCATTGAAAATGAGATTGTATCTCAATGCTTCTATCTGGTTAAATAACTTTAACTAATAATAACTAACAAGTGATTGGAATCAAAAAGATTCCAATAACTTGTATATAGACTCTTATTGCACTATTTCTTCTGTGTATCTGTTTTATTGTGTTGCACTATTGGAGGAGCCTGCGACCTAAGGGGGGGGGGGATAGGACACGTTCGATTCCTGTTTTGAATAGTGTGCCGTCGATGGGTTTCATTCCATTTCAAGGTGCTTTTTGACGCTCCGTGTAAAATTCGCGCACTGCCACTCCAACATCCAATCACAGAGCTTGAGGACTGATCACGGGGTTTGTCGCACATGGTGTAGTCCCAAACGATAGCTGAGGATTCTGGGTAGTGTAGTGTCTTCTGCCATCCAAAAACTCCGAAAAAATATTCGTTTCTCCGAATCGAAGGGGGAAAATACAAAAGCATTGTACACATTTTAAACCAATCAATGTTGTGTAATTAACAAGGATAATTTGGTGTTTTTGAGTTGATGAGTAGTTCAGATATCACTGTAAAATCAATCGACAGTAAGGAGAATACTTACTTCCGGGTGTAAAATTCTCCGTTATCCAATGGGAATGGACGCTCGTAATACAATAAAGGGGACATGATCATTATCTTTTAAATAACGTTAACTAAACGGAACAATCTATTTGACACAGCTGAAGCTCTGGCCTTCCTTAAAAACTAACTAATTTAATAAAAATCACAGTTGTATTACACACACTGTTTTTTGAAAACAAAAATTCGTAACTAATATAATTTTTACATTCTGACGAAAAATAAAAATGATTATGAATACAAATAAAATAAAAGAAGTCTCCCGTGAGTTACTACAAGCTATATAGTAGATTTTAAAAACGTTTTATAGAATAAAAGCTCACTGCGGGACGTTCACTTTACATTGGGTTTTTTTGCGTGGTGCCGACACGTAAATGTAGCAGAATGCGTGACTCTACCACGCAATGCGGTGTTAAGGAGTCGTGGTGGAGTCACGCATTCTGGTGAGATCAGGTTGTGTAAAGTAACTAAATTAGTAAATTAGCGTACTTGTACTTTACTTGAGTATTTAAATGTTTTGCTACTGTGTACTTCTACTCCTCTACAGTTCAGAGGTAAATGGTGTACTTTGACCCACTACATGTATCTAATATCTTTAGTTACTTCACAGATGTGGATGAATGATGTGAAATCTAATCAAGTGTTAAATCAGACTTTAGTTCCACCTGGAGTAAATTCACAAGCTGGTTGCCAACTCTCACGCATCTGGCGTGTGACACACGCTTTCACTCTCAATCTCACGCTCTCACGCTGCCCAAACTATTCTCACGCCAAAACAAGAATACCGAAGACTAGAAACGGTTTTGAAAACTGTTGTCACGCAATGATCGGAAATAATCTAAACCTCACGCGTGGCGTTCGTTTCACTGTCAAGGGGAGTGTGTAATTACATTGCAAATACTGACTTGAGCCCCACCACTGTATGGGTTAGCCCTACCATACCATACGTATATCTGTAGACTTGGTATGTCTTAAATGTCCGGTTAGGATGTATTAGAACGAAATCTAAAATGAAAATTGTAAACAAGCAATCTGTATGTAAAAAACCACCTGTATGTAAATTGTAAATAAGCTATCTGTATGTCAAATATATCTTATATGTCTTAAATGACATGATGAATTGGAAATGGGGGACCCTGATGTAAACAAGACGAAAGTCTTTCTCTGGTCTGCATCCCCTTAACAATTGTATGTTTTGAGCTGTACTGTACTGTACCCAATATACAAGCTGTTAATAAACTTTTCAATCAATCAATCAATCAATCAATAGATTACCCAACACAAATACTCCGGAGCCGCCACCGCCGACCCGTATTGCGCATGCGCAGATCTAAGATCCAGTAGAAATGATAAAAAGTAAAAGTCTGCTGCTTATTGTTCTACTAGGCCAAAATAGAGTCAAAGAGTATATGAGAGTGAGAGTGTGTTAATTAATATATTTGGCAGTTTGGAGTAAGTCTGTAGATTTGTTTATGTGTGTGTGTGTGTGTGCGTGTGTGTGTGTTTCATGTATAGGCCTCTCACGATAATTAATTTTGTTGGATACATTTTCCCGGAAATTATTGCGATAAACGATAATATTGTCGGCACCGTTGTATGACCATTTTAGACCACTGACATAATGATAATATATAATAATAATTCAAATACATCCTTTCAAACTGCTAGTCACATCCTCATGTAAATGGCAATTTATCGAGTTCATTTTTATTTATCGTACGATAAGTCAATTAATTCTTATCGCGACAGGCACACAATAAAACAGTGGAAACAAACATGTGTTTGACTTTCAATAGTGAATGAAACTTTGTGCACTTTATAGTCTGTTTCCAATTTTGTGTATTTGTACAGTATATATATATATCCTAAGGTCCCGCTACTGACACGATAGCAGTCATTTTGTGCGCATATGTGTAATCAAACCCATGATACCAAAATCTCACTCCAGCCAGGTACCCAAAGTTGGCAACCCTGAGCTACCCTGCAGTATACAAAGTCATTCAAACTAGCTGCACCTTTACCAGCTTTGAGAACACTTTCATGATCAATCATTATAAAACATATCATATATATTATTCTGAAATGGACCAATCTGCACAATGACTACTTTTACTGTCGCTACTTTCACTATATTTTGATGAGAATACTTTCCTACTTTCACTTGAGGAACATTTTGAATGCAGGACTTTTACTGTAACAGAGTATTCCTACACTCTGGTACGTTTACTCGTACAAGATCTGCGTACTTCTACCACCTCTGGTAAAAAAGTATCTAGTATAATCATTACCAATAGCATTCTGATGAAGGGACTCTGGCCTCTACTAAATGTGATTAAGTTCCCGGTATTGCCAGAGGGGGCAGCAGAGTTCAGCTGATCTATCCCCCGCTGCTGCGCCTCCTCCGCCGGGCTCCAGCTTCTCCTCCGCTCTGCTCCAGCTCCAGCTCCGGGCTTTACCTCCAGCCTCTGTAGATCAGTAGCTCAGCCTCTCCACCTCCCTCTCTCTCCAGCTGTAAAGAAGAGAGAGAGGGAGAGAGAGACACAGAGAGACACAGAGAGAGAGAGAAAGAGAGAGAGAGAGAGAGAGAGAGAGAGAGAGAGAGAGAGAGAGAGAGAGAGGAGAGAGAGAGGAGAGAGAGAGAGAGGAGAGAGAGAGAGAGAGAGAGAGAGAGAGTGTGTTCGCACCCTCCCTTCCACACTCCTCCTCCTCTTCTTCCGAGCCTCTCCATCAGTCCTCCCCGGCAGACGGAGCAGACCTCCGGGAAGGCAGCGTGGATTGTACCCCACCTCGCATCAGTGTGAATGGGATTGAATAATGGAGCCTCTATCTGCATAGTTCCTGGAACTTATTCCTCCTCCCGGACAGAAGGAAACTAACAGCGGTGTGTCTTGTTGGGATTTCTCTTCTCTTTTTTTCTTTTCGGGATCAAACCCCGACCAAGGAGGTTTTGGGGAGAGGAGAGGTTGTTTCATCCCTCTCTCTCCTCATCCTCCTGACTCAACATCCTGCTTTTTTGTTATTTATTATATATTTTGAATTGATACTTGGGTTGTGCGAAGATCTTTTTAACCAGACACCAGCAGGATCTGCGGGTGGTGGTTCCGGTGGTTCCTCGGGCTGTTCGGGACCGGAGCGGGGCAGCATGGAGCCGGGTTCGCTGGGATGTATGGGTGATGTTTGGGGGCTGATGGAGCGGAGGAGAGGGGGGACAGGAGGTCTATACCTGCTGCTGCTCTGCTGGCTGCTGGCTACTCTCACCGCAGCGCAAG